GGGCTGGCCCGTGGCTCACTTGGGAGAGTGTGGTGCTGATAACACCAAGGCCACGGGTTCGGATCCCATATAGGGATGACTGGTTCGCTCACTGGGTGAGCGTGGTGCTGACACCACCAAGTCAAGGGTTAAGATCCCCTTACCGGTCATCTTTAAAAAAAAAAGAAAAAAGGTCGTGAAGGAGGTCTGGGTCTAGGGATCCCTCAAAAGGCCAATGGTTTTGGTTGTCCAGGGGGTACTGGGGCCAATCTTGAGTGCAAAATCTGATCAAGAGCTTTGGCTTAATATCTGGTGTAAGGGAGAGTACAGTAAGGTTTCTGAGTAAGCATTTGAGGGGTGAGGTTTCTGCAAGGGACGAGGAGGCTCCCATTGCGAAGTGGACAGAGATAAGGAAATCAAGAGGAAGAGAAAAAGAGAAAACGAGGAAATGAATCCCCAGGCCGGAAGTGGGTCAGCAAAATCCAAGAGGCGTCCCCCAAGGAGTTTGTGAGCCACGGAGGTTCTATAGAAACTGGACTAGGAGGAGAGTGAGGGTCATCACCCACACTTCAAGCTCCCAGGAGGCACAGTGCTGGAGGCCATGAGGAACCCAGTACTAGGATTTTTGGAACCCGTTTTAGCATCCAGAGAGAGAGAGAGAAGCAGAAAGGAGCCTCCACCCTGAAACCTCATGCTCAAAGGCTCCTGGAGAGAAGGGAGTGGATAGCTGGAGGGTCCGTCATGACTGTAAAGGTCTTAATGGGGTGTAACTTTACACCTCTTAAGGGCGTCGGAGTCTAGTTGGTTGATAACTGCTCCGCTGTAGCCCAGAGGAGGGTGGCAGCCTTATAAGGAAGACTTACCTAAGGGTGGAAGCAGTGGTGAGTGTGAAGAGTCAGCACCCAAAAAGGTAGACGAGGGCGAGCCGCCTTGGTTGAGATGGAGACAGGGTCCACAGTGGACAATCCCGTCCCGCATTTCGGCACCAATGAAAGGAATAAAATTCAGCACCAGTTAAAGGATGAGACACAAACGCAAGGCAGCTTGCTGGAGAAGGTTTTTTATTCAGCGGGCACATCTGCTTTTATAGGGTTAGAAGAGAGCTGATAGGTTTGCTGAGGACATTGGGGCGTTTGAGGATTGGATGGATTGCATTGCTAAGGGGCCAGGAGCAGGGAGCCTGTGCTGACTGGCATGCAATTCACGCCAGCAGGAAGGTATTGTGGTGCTAGCAGGAAGGAGAAGGTGGAAGAGAAGGGTAGCCAGTGCCATGATGGGGTGCGGCCTAAAGGGTTCTCATACGACCTAATAGGATCCAGTCCTGTAGTGGCCTGAGGATGGTTCTTTTGATTTGGATAAATTAACACATTTGCGGAGCTCCTTGGAAGGGTCTCATCCTGAGTGAGTGAGTTACTGGTATATATGGGATGAATATCATTCTAAGAGAAAAGTTAAAAGTGATTTAGATAGCCAAAAGAAAGGAAAAAAGAGGAAATGTGAGAATTGAAGGCACTTTCTCTTTCACAGAGACCTCCACTGTGAGACTGGCCCAAAAGCGCGAATCTTACTTGCTGGGAAGGCTCATCTCGCAAAGACCAGGAGACAGAGTTCAATGCAATAATGCAAGAGGTTTTTATTTTCAGCGCTGAAGGTTGCCCCGTTTTCAGGACAGGAGCGGCCCCGAGCTCTTAACTCAAGCATCTTTTATGCAGTTTGGTAGGCAGGCTTTGGTAACAGGCTGGGTTGTATGCTGCTTATTGGCCACTTTAAGCAATTTTTAAAACCATTGGGCTTTTAGCTTTTGGCGGGCAAAGGAAGGACTGAGGTATTGACCAACAGTTCACCCCCCCTCTTTCCTCCCTTGGTGTCCAAAGATAAGGTAATCAGGTGAGCATACTCCCTTCCTGGAACAGGGTGAACTTTGGCTCTTTGGAAAGTCCCTTCCCCCTGGCAGTGGAAAGTCCTAAACTTCTGGCGATGGAAGGTCTTAAGTATCTGGTATTGTTTACCAAAAAGGTCGGGGGGTTATCTCTACCTCCACATTCCCCCCCTTTTTTTGCGTATTTCAATCATGAAATACTGTTTTCTGTTGGTTTAATTCCTGATATTGAATAGCCAGAGCTGAAGCTCTTGTAGCTCCCTCAGCTGTTCCCAATCCTAAGCCTAAGAGGACAGAGAGCATGGTACTTAGTGGCTCCCTTCTGGTTCGATAGTTCCCGTTACTTTTATCCCAGTATGATAATAGTTCTTCATAGGGATGGTAAACAAGCCGAGGCAACAACCGAACCAAGACACAGAAATCTTGGGTCTCGTTTAGGACCTGTAAGTTAACACAGGGTGTGACCCCAGTAGCGCAGGCCCACCATCCTTCTGGAGGGGGCAACAGATATGTGTCACCAGACCACTTGTTTACGTTAAGAGTCTGGTTGCACAGCTGGCTGTGTGAGGAAGGGGTATGTGGACTGCTAGCTCCTTGGCCCTGGGAAAAGTTTTTTAGGCATAAGAAAAGCAAGAGAGTTTTTATCTTACAACACTTAGAATGTCCGAACAATTTTCAGTCTTAAGGGGTGCTACTTGGAACCCTGGACTTTCCAGGTGGCATCTTTTGATCCTTGGTCCTCTGGTGGTGCAAGCTTTACGTGCGAGGTGTGGATCTAAGCAGAGATCCCGTTTGCCTTTACAGCCGTTGGTGTCATCAGGAGAACCAGGTAAGGTCCCTTCCAGCAGGGTTCCAGAGATTGGGAGCGGTGTTGCCATACTGTGTCCCCAACCTGGAACTGGTGAGAGACTTTGGGGGTCCCATGCTCATAGGTGACCACCAGCTGCGTGCAGACTTTCTTCTGCACTGTTTGCAGTCCTTTTAACCTGGCATATAAGTCACTGTTACTGTGGCAAGTGGGTTTAAAGGCATCCCCCAGTAAAGTCAAGGGGGCAGGGGCACCATAGGGAATTTTAAAGGGGGTCAGGTTGAACCGGGAGGGGGTGTTCCTAACTCTAAACAGGGCTAAGGGAAGGAGCAAAACCCAGTCTACGCCAGTCTCCATGGTTAATTTAGTCAGGGTCTCTTTTAGAGTTCTGTTCATCCTTTTTACCTGCCCTGAACTCTGGGGTCTATAGATACAATGTAATTTTTCATTGACTCCTAAGTATCTGGCCACTCCCTGGCTTACCTTGGCAATGAAGGTGGGCCCATTGTCAGACCCAATTACCTTGGGTACCCTGAAGCATGGGAAGATTTTTTCCAGGATTTTCTTGACCACAATGTTGGCTGTTTCCTGCTTTGCTGGGAATGCTTCTACCCATCCAGAGAGGGTGTCTACAAAAACTGGGAGATACTTGTAACCATATTTACCTGGCTTGATCTCTGTAAAGTCTATTTTTTTAATATATCCTAGGTCTGGGCTGGCCCGGTGGCACACTCAGTAGAGTGAGGCGCTTGGGAGCGTGGCGGCGCTCCCGCCGAGGGTTCGGATCCCATATAGAGACTGGTCTGCTCACTGGTTGAGCGCGGTGCGGGTGCGACACCGAGGGTTGCGATCCCATTGCCGGTCACGGTACAGGCACAACACTGAGGGTTGCGATCCCATTACCAGTCACGAAAAAAGACAAAAAGGAAAAATATAGATATATATATATCCTAGGTCTGTCTCCCCTTGGTCTTTTGCCAGGTCCTGTGGTATTCTTACAAGCATTTACCTTTTGACATGGCATACACTTATAAACTATCTGTTCTGCTAATTGTTTTAGCCCTATGATGTGATATTTTGTCCTTAGGGCAGTCTGGACCAATTTGTTTACTCCCAGATGAGTCCATTGGTGCATTTGTTCAATCATGGCACGGGCTTGTTCTTGTGGCAAGATGGGCTTGCCTGACGCTCCATGCCAACGCCCTGTTTCCTGATCAAAGTAGTTATTAGAGTCCCTTGAGATCACTGCTATGTCCTCAGCAGAGTACTTAAACTTGGGCCCCTTCAGCTCTCGTATGTCAACCAGCAGAAGAGAAATGGACCCATGGGCTGCCGCCCTTGCCTCTGAATTGGCCAAGTCGTTTCCCCTGGTGATGGGGGAATCCCCTTTCTGGTGGCCCGGGCAGTGTATAATACTCACTTTTAGCAGTCTGTGAAGGGCCTCTAGCAGGGCTACGATCTCTGCCTTTTTTTTTTTTTCTCCAGAGGTCAGCAGACCCCGTTGTTGATATATAGCACCGTGCACATGGGCTGTGGCAAAGGCACACCTGCTGTCCATATAGATGTTGATTCTTTGCCCTCTCCTAGTTCAAGGGCTTTTGTGAGGGCGATGAATTCTGCCTTCTGGGCGGACGTTCCTGCAGGTAGGGCCTGAGCCCATATCAGGTGTTGGCTATCATCCACTATAGCAGCCCCTGCCTTTCTTATTCCTTCTTCCAGGAAGCTGCTGCCATCTGTAAACCAGGTGGCTTTGGCGTCTGTCAGGGGCTGATCCAACAAGTCTTTCCGCTATCCATGCACCTCAGCGAGCACTTGTTGACAATCATGGATAGGCGGGTCGAGGTCAGGGTCTGGCAGCAGTGTGGCTGGATTTAAGCTTGCCGGTGGAGCAAAAGTGACCCAGTCTGAATTCAGTAAGAGTCTGATAGTGAGTCATGCGAGCATTTGTGACCCAGCGGTCTGGGGGCTGGCGGACAACACTCTCTAAAGCATGAGGTGCTGAGATTACTAAATTCTGCCCCACAGTCAATTTGTCAGCATCTTTTACCAGAACTGCGACTGCTTCTATGACTCTTAGACAAGCTGGCCACTCTGAGGCTACTGGGTCTAGTCTTTTAGACAGACATGCCACAGGCCTTTTCCAGGGCTCCAGTCCTTTTTTTTTTTTTTTCCTTGCAGTATGCATATTGATCCCTTGCCAGGGGTCCCTTTCTGTTGCCTGGTACTGTCTTACTGGGCTCCCTAGTTTCCCTGACTACAGTGGCCAGAATTTTGTGAAAATTTCTTTCTTGGTGCCTTTACTAGACTGGTCAATAAAAGCAACTGTCACAGTAGCTTTGTGCTCTTTACCATTAGGATCATACGGGGTAAACTGATGGAATGCCTCTATGAGTCTCTCTAAAAATGCTGATGGAGACTCATTGGGCCCCTAGATTATCTCTTTTACCTTAGTCAAATTGGTGGGGCATTTTGCCGCCCCTTGGAGACCTGCCATTAGAGCCTGGCAATAGACCTTCAGGTGCTCCCTACCTTTTGCCGAGTTGAAATCACAGTTTGGTCTGGTCAATGGGAATCCTGCATCTATGACATCAGGGAGGAGAGTAGGTTATTTTCTCCTCAGTGGTGAACAGGACCTGGAGGAGCTGCTGACAGTCATCCCAGGTGGGCTGGTAGGTATAAAAGACAGACTCCAAAAGAGAAATTAGGCCTTGTGGCTTACTAGAGAAAGAAGGATTCTGGTTTTTCTAATTATATAAGTCACTCATGGTAAAGGGAACATAGACCATAAAGGGTTCTTGGGCACTGGGGCCTGATGTAAGGGCAAAAAAGGGGGGGGGAGGAGACGTGAGCTACGAGGGGTCTGTGTTTGTGAGTCAGGTACAAGGTCTTGCCAAGGCCTCATCTGGTTTCCTCGCCATCATCTCAGGACCCTCCAAGATTTTGATTTGTGCCAGTGTACTCGGCCAGTGCCCAAGGCGAGCCTCCAGTCGCTTGGCCTTGATCATTTTCTAAAATTCTACAAGACTTAAAGAAAGAACTGTTAGCTTTGCAAAGTACCAACCAGCTTCTCAGCCTTGCATTTCTACTTAGTGAGATAAGAAAGTCAGGGGATGGGAAGCAAGAGTAGAGAGAGAGAAAAAACCTGTCTCTTTAAAAAAATCCTCCCCGCCCCCATAGCCCAGGCCGCTTTAGGTCCCCAAATGGCTTTAGTCCTGCTTATTCTAACAATTTCCCATTGTCAATAGTTCTTTCCACTTTTATGGAGTGGGCCGCCGACTCATCTGACTGCTTCAAGCTGTTTTTAGAGTGCAGTAGGGGTTAATGTGGAATGGAACTATTTGACATGATGGGGGACATAGCTCTTGTTCCCCAGCTGGAGTGGCGCAGAGGTAGACATGTTATTTTATACTATAAAAATCAGAAGGATACTCACAAATAGTTTTCAAATTTTGGAGGAATCAAAGGGAAAAAGGCAAATATTTTCATCTTTGTTTATAAAGTACATTTTACCAATTTGCTGTAAGTTATAGATAGCTTAGAGAAAAAGTTTCCTTAAAACAAAACATTTAAGTAAAGAACAAACAATGCAAGTTACAAAACATTTTTATTAGTTACTTAACTTTGTATACTTAATTTTTGCTTTACTTGATCTTAATTAGTAGTTCTATAAACTCATCAGATTTTTTACTAGAGTTTTGAAAACCTTTTATTTTGTCCATCGTTCTCAAAGTTATTTGACCTTAATATTAAGTTTTAGTGTTTAGAAAAACGTAGCTAATTGCCTATTAATTATAATCATTTTAATCATACACAAAGTTATTTTATAAATTCGCTGCTCACAACCATTATTACCACTTACTTGGACCCTTGATGACATGCTTTAGATTTTTTATTTGTCCAATACTTTTCACTTTCTAAATAACCAGTCATTTTGCTCTAGGACAAAAGCTCACTACATAAGATGCTTTTTCACAATGAAGTACCCTCTTTTCCTGCATACTGATTTCCTTCTTTTACCAACAATACTAAATTAACCTCATTTACCTAAAAATCGCATGATCAAAGATCATTCTGTTTTAGGCTGGGCTTATAATTTTAACCTTAAAACCTTTAGCAAAGACAAATGTAATCCTGTTTGACCAGTAAACCCAAGCAGATAATTCCAAAAACATTTCTCATAGCAGTGTGATTTTTAAAAAGCCTTTTAAACCTTATTTTAGTTGCTTACATTTAGCTAGAACTGGCTGCATTGTATAAGAAAAACAGAATCTCCCAGTGGCCTTGATTTTTCTAACAGGTTTTTCTTTATCTTGGCTGAAATGCCATAGACAGTGAGCATTTCTTATAACACTTACAGAACTCTGTGCACAGATAGACAAATTTTGTCCAGAGACTTAGCTAATTACACTGTTCGGTTTTTCAAGCTTGCCAGGAGAAACTGAGAAAAAATAATTTCTTTCAGTCATCAGGTTTTTAATGACCAAAAGGCACAAACTTAGTTACTCAAACACAAACAGACAGACAAATTATTAGCCCTGGCTTTCACATCAGTCCAGTATTTCAGAGTCATCATGTCGCCCCAGAAAGTCATCAGTCCCAACACACATGCAACCAGACAAACAGAAACCAAAACACTGACATGCCCCTGCCATGGGCGCAACAACCAGATTATCAGAGAACTCAGGAGGGGTCTCCTTCCTAGAGATCTCCCGTGGAGCCAAACCCGTTCATCTCCTAACAGAGGAATCTGGAACGTCCTCCAGGACTCCTGTGGCTGTGGCGTGCTGGCACATCTGCCTAGCTGCTTGAGCACACAGATGGCTCTGCTTTGGAGCCTCAGAAAATCTAAAATCAGACTGGTGATTCCATCTTGGAGCCACCGAAAAGCTAAACAGACTGGTGACTCCCCCTTGGAGCCACCGAGAAACTGAACCCAGACTGATGACTCCGTCCCGGAGCCACCGAAAAACCAAAACCAGATTACAGCAGACAACAAAGACAAACACAGCAGATGGACAGACAACCATGGTACCTTGCTGCTCAAGCAAACCTCCGATCTCTAGTCTCTGGGTCCTGGAGAGAGCTGTTTCCCGGCCAACGCACCAAAATGTAAGACTGGCCCAAAAGCACGAATCTTACTTGCTGGGAAGGCTCATCTCACAAAGACCAGGAGACAGAGTTCGATGCAATAATACAAGAGGTTTTTATTTTCAGTGCTGAAGGTTGCCCCGTTTTCAGGACAGGAGCAGCCCTAAGCTCTTAACTCAAGCATCTTTTATACAGTTTGGTAGGCAGGCTTTGGTAACAGGCTGGGTTGTACACTGTTTATTGGCCACTTTAAGCAGTTTTTAAAACCATTGGGCTTTTAGCTTTTGACGGGCAAAGGAAGGACTGAGGTATTGACCAATGGTCCACCCCCCTCTTTCCTCCCTTGGTGTCCAAAGATAAGGTAATCAGGTGAGCATACTCCCTTCCTGGAACAGGGTGAACTTTGGGCTCTTTGGAAAGTCCCTTCCCCCTGGCAGCGGAAAGTCCTAATCTTCTGGCGATGGAAGGTCTTAAGTATCTGGTATTGTTTACCAAAAAGGTTGGGGGGTTATCTCCACCTCCACACCACCTCCTTTCTCTGCTGTCCCTGCTTTCTCTACTTCCCCTCATGTCTTTGTCACTCTCTGCCTCTAATCAACTCCAGCGTCTCCCTGGGGAAAAGGGAGGTGATGATCTTTTAGAGGGGTGGTTCCCTTCATTAGTAGATTTCCCTGTAAAGGGAGATGAGGTTACAAATTTCTACAATTATCTGCTCTATTTGAAGATACAGGTTTGTGTACCTGGTGGCCTAGCCCTGAATCCCCTTTATATTTTAGACCAGATTCCACCTGAAGGAGTCCCTTATCTAGAAAGCAGAAATAAAAAGGAGACAGGATCATGGAATGATTGAGAACTTGGATAAAAGACCGTGTTCCCATACTAAAGTAACAGGATTGAGAGTAGCTGCACTAGTCACTTGGGAAAAGGCAAACAAACAAGGTGTTAAGCTGATGAATGTCAACACTAAAAGGGAAACCGAAGTGCTACATAATTTGCATTTTTCTTGTCTCAGTGTGAGGAAAACCAGCCCATCCTATCTGAATCTCCAGCAAAGTTGATGCTACCCAGAACTCCTGGGTAATTCATATGCCTTTCTCATTCACTTAAAGGCTTTTTTCCCCCTGTGCCCCAGAAATTTTCAGAACTACTCTGCAGTGTGTTTTCAGTTGCAGCCCCACATATGGGACTTGTGCACTCACTACTGCGCAAGATTCTGCAACCAGCAGACTTTGCTCTTTTGACTGAGTAAGCATGTTGGGGTCCAGAAGATTACCACATCCAGGGTTATGGTGGCCAAGGGAAGCTGATTATTCACCAACCCCCACAACTATGGATGATCTGAGGATAGGGGTTACTTGAAGCCTTTCTAGTAAAGATGAGCTGGGAGACATTGCAGAAGACAGGTGAGTCCCCCATTGATTTCTATAAGTGATTTGTTGAGGCACTCTACAAATTCATTGTCATAGATCTAAGGGCAGATAAAAATCACCCTCTGGCCTACCTTTGTCTTGGCTCTCTTGCCAACTATCCAAACCCAAGTTAAGGAAAATGTGGTAGGATGGCAGGACAGACTATTACTTAAGGACAGATCCAATCAAGATGGTGGAATAGACGGTCCACAGCATCACTGTCTCCGACAAATCAACCAATTTACCACTATAAAAATGTAACATCAGCCAAGCCGGGGCCGCTGAAGCTCA